AAGTAGTGTATATGCGTTGTTTCTAAGTCTATAGGCTGGGTCGTGGGTGATAGTCGGGCAGGAGGTTAAAAAGGAGAGCCCATATATCGCTTTGTAGAGAAATATTAAATTTTGTTTTAGCCTACGGTGCCATAAAGGTTCTAAAGATAGATGCTTACATCTGTCTGTGTAATCGAGATTCGAGTTACATCCTAGTAGTTGACGTGTGAAACGTCTTTGAACATCTTCTACTCTTATCTTGTCTGCGATATTCATATTAGAGAAGACAAAAGAGCAGTATTCAAGGGTGGGTCGTACACATATTTTGTAGAGAGTAAGTTTACTCTCTGTTGTGAAAAAGTTTTTCATTATAAAACCAATTAGCCGTCTAGATTTAGAAATAATAGAGGAGGCATGTTCTTCAAAGTTTAGGCTTCCTGTGTAATTAATTCCTAAATCGTGTACTGATTTGAGTGTTTGGACTATACATTCATTTAAGTGAAGTCGCGGTTTATAGGGATGCTTTCCAAAGTGCATGATCCCACACTTGTTCAGGTTAAATGGTAATTGCCATTTTTCACTCCATATAGTTAAGTTATTGAGGTCCTTTTGGATCTGGGATACACTTTCGCTTAGTGTCTCAGGCTTATAGCTGTATACTATTTTGAGATCATCAGCATATAAGTACGGTATCCCAAATTCTATGGTGTTACATATATCGTTTATATACATAAGAAACAAAAGTGGCCCTAATACGCTTCCCTGGATGACTCCACTGGTGATTGGTCTAGGGGACGAGAGACAGTCATTGTACTTTACCATCTGTTTACGTTCTGTTAAGAACGAAGCAAACCATGAGTGCAGTGGGTTGTGTATTCCGAAGGACTTTAGTTTGACGAGTAGCCTTTTGTGTGGGACCTTATCAAAGGCTTTCTTAAAGTCTAGGAATAGGACTGATACAAGGAGTCCGCTGTCTCGTTTCAGAGTTATATCATTCAGGTAGTCTACTAGGCATGTATCGCATGATCTGGACCTAAGAAATCCATGCTGGGAGGTCGACAAGAGATTGTTAGTTAATAGATGTTGGACTACAGCCGCCTTAACTACTTTTTCCATCACTCTGGATACCACTGAAGTTATGTTTATAGGCCGGTAATTTTCAACGTTTGCTTCAGGTCCTGTTTTAATTTTGGGAATGATATGTGTAGTTTTCCAGGCAGTAGGGTAACACGCTGAAAAGAGTGATATCGCGAATAGTTTGAGAAGCAAAACACACATATCATCACCTCCGCGTTTTAGCATGCTAGATGGAATACCATCTGGTCCATCAGTGTAGGAGTGTTTCAATGTACTGAATGCTTTGGAGATATTTTGTACACTGAATTCTACATTAGTAATTTCACAGGGAGTTACTGGGATTGGTTCTGAATCATTAAATGGTTTTTCGTTAGTTAGTGAGAAACAAAAATGTTCACTGAATAATTCTGTGATAAGTTTGGGATCTTCGTATACTTGTTTGCCTTTAATGAATATACTCCCTCTCGATTTAGAGCGTTTAAGTTTATTTCGGAGTAGTATGGTGAGTGCAGAGGAGTTATTATTAAGTTCAACTGCACGTTTTTCCTGTGCTACTGCTTTTTGTTTACTTATTGCCTCTGTTCGGACAAGTATTTCTGTCATCGTTACTAAAGAGGAAAAGTCGTTTAAGTTGTGGAATCGAGTACAATGTCTTTGAAGACGTCTTCTTGTACTGACCGGTATATAGAGATCTTTGGAGAACGTAGGTTTACAGTATTCTAAAGGTGCGATATTGTTGATGATACTTTTGATGTTGTGATAAAATATATTGGTTAATGTGTCGGTATTGTTTGAGGTAAAGAAAGTTCTCCAATCAGTGCTTCTTAGGTAATTGTGGAAGTTATTCCAATCAACCTTGCGATAGTTTCTACGAAATGTTACGGTTTTACTTCTATCGGTTGTGGTTTTTACATTAAGGCTGCATATGACAATGTTATGATCACTACCTGGGAACTTTTTTCCAATATACAAAGTATTGGGGGTGAGGCCACTGGTAAAGACTAAGTCTAAGATGTTTTGATGTCTGGTAGGGCTATCGACATACTGAGTCCATTGTCCAAGTTCTAGACATTCAATAAATGATTCATAACGTCTCGGCGCTTTGACTGGCAGTCAAGAAATTTCGGGCATATTGAAGTCACCACAAATGAGCTTGCCTGTGAATGAGAGGGATGATGCTAGTGTGAATACCTCCGATAATACTGCTATTTCATCTATTGATGTGTTAGGTTGACGATAAACACAGCCGAGCAGTAAGGTAACGGAATTCGACGGCTTTAATACAATCCACACCGAATCCTTCAGTTTGTTTAGTTCAGGCATATCACATAGCAGTGAGTTCAGGCTAGAGTGAGCGTAAATAAGGCATCCTCCGCCTCGTCCATTCAATCTATCGCTTCTATATAGGGAATAGTTATCTAGAGATATGCTTCGGTCGGAAATATTACTGTTAGTCCATGCTTCAGATATCATAATAACTGATGGTTGATATATGGATACAAACAGGGCTAAATCCGTCTTTTTGTTGCAGATCGATCGAGCGTTGATAAGACATATATTAAGCAAGTGGCCTACTAAGTTAAAATGGGTGAGGGTATTTCGGATAAAGTCGTCGTAACCCTCGCGAGTGTAAGATGAGTTTGATGTGAGGGATTGGATGTTCTTCATTAGCTCGGTGTTTTGATAGTTAAACTTATTGGGAGATGTATCAAATGAGCTGGTGAAGTTGATTGGGGAGTTTACCCAGGAGGAAAGGGTGGGAGTACTCTGTGATGGAAACTGTACGGAGGAAACAAATTTATGGTTTGCATGTGGTTTGAAATAACCTGGGCTATATGCTTCAACAGAGGTGTCACTAGGGGTCTTATTCCAAAAAAATCTTGCACAGGCCTACTGTGAAGTGTATGGTTATTTGCAAAATAGTCTTGATGGTTAGACTCGTAGCCCCTGTTATGGCTATTTACGTTAGCGCGAGAGGGGTCTGCTACGCGTAACTGGGAGGAGTTGCGACTGTTGTTATACATGGGAGCCGTCGTTATGTGATGGGTCGGCACTAAGGGGTATGAGAAGTTTTCTTTTTGAGAGTAATTACAGTTGCGGTCCTGGGGAATGTAGGTAGGGTGTGGAGTTAGAAACCTATTATTACCGTTCTTATTTATGGTTTTAGGCTTCAGGGGGTGATTTGGATGGCCAGTTCTCTGGTAGTTTTCGTTAGTCTGCGTGTAAGAAGGCTTGCTACGTTGAAGCCCACCACCCTTTTTGCAACTTGGAGGTGTTGAAGGCAAGTTATACGATAGCAGCGGGGAGAACCTGTTCACTGTTCTTGGGATACCTATAGAGCAGTTGGGTTCAATCTTACGTGTTTCCCTATTCGGTATCATGAGTTTTGTCTTCCCACCCTTTATTTTCAGAGCAGGATTCTTTCGTTGTCTTTGTGAGATGAACTTACGTTCATTCAAGTCTACTTGTGGAATGTCTTTAGGAGGACAAATTTTCAAGTGTATAGGCTTAGTTGCACATGTGTTGTTACACGACTCACATTTTAGTACATTACTGAATGAACAGCTGGGATTAGTCATGTCGTTATGGTTTTTGGTGTCAGTTGGGGTCCGTATCTTATCCAAAGGTTTCTGATCTGTAGACTCATCTAGATCAACAGAGTGATCAGCCGTATGTGGACTGGTGTCATGCTTAATGTTCGTGTGTTTTAAACTATTTGCTGTGTTGCAAACTGTCTTTGGCTGATTATTAACTGTAACACTCCCATTCAATTCTATCGCTTTGCGTCTTCTCACACGACGTTGACAGGGCGTAAGGTCTGGAGTGACTTTTATATTTTTGTATGGAATTAGTGAGCTAATGTTTTTGCTCAAATCAATAAACTGCTTAGCATCGTTACAACAGCCAAACATAAACAAGAGGGGGCAAGTCGATCTGTCTGACTTTTTTCTAAGGCGGATGACTTTGCAGTTAACGTTCGGCATACCGCATGCTCTAAGGCAAATATCTCTTAACTTAGATAGGTGTGTGCGGTCGGGGAGGTTATACACAACTGCATTGAAGGAGGACATTACTCTCTTCGTCACTTCTTCAGCCACAAACTCCAAAATACACTCAGCTTTAGTGAGTTGCTCAAGATTTCTGTCTGTATCAAGTCCCCATATATGAGTGAGGGGTGCTAATTGCTCAAGTTTGCCGTTAATTTCGGATAGAGAGTTTTGTAGCTGTTGGATGTCATTACTATATCTATCAGTATTTTGGTGCGTATGAGGTGGACCATTGGACTCTTTAGTTTTTGAAATTTTAGACTTAGGCCTTGGTAGCACATACTGTTTAGTAGATTGTGCTGACTTTTCAATGCACTTAGGTATAGTGTCTTGTATGTCAACCAGTCTTACCGTTGGCATACTGCACGTAAAGATAGAGGGGCTGTGACATGGAGAATCTGGTGACGATAGGGACATTTGTGTACAATGCACATATTTTTCAGTAGTTAAAGGTTCGACATTGTCAAGCACTGAGTCGTCAGTTGTAGGGGTTAAAGATTTGGACCTTTTATTTGGCTTAGAAGTTGGTGAAATTCCTCTTTTACTGGAGTTATTGGACATTATATGAATATAAGTGAGCACAGTGCTCGATAAATTAAATATAATATCTGAGTATTAGTTGTTATTAAGTATTAACCTGGTTAATACTAGGATTAGAGACTGTGAGTATATAATAAATTGCAGACCTATTTACGACTTAAGTCCGCAATAGGTACA